TGTTGAGATCATTACCATTTACAAAAGGGAATAAATTCATACCTTTCTCATCTGAAGTTCCATCCATGGCAATCGTCTCTAAAATGGTAATGAGAAATTTGAAGAGATTTGTTTAGAACAAATAAAACATTCAAGAACCAATTACACAAAATGTAAAACTATAAAAAGTACTTACAAAGCTCTTAATTTTTTTTTGCCTTGAACCTTATCAGCAAACATTTTTATTTATAAAGCCTAAATTATATTATTTTTTACTAATATATTATTTATCCATCCCTAAAAAAGTTCTGTCCTCTATAAATATCACAATTTCATAAATCCATTCTTAAATACAAAAGTTAGTAGCTTCAATTTCCCTTGAATTAAAGTGTTAAATGTTAGTACCATTGACATCAAGGTGGATTTCATCCAGACTCTTCCCTTTATACTCTCCAAGTCGTCCGTGTTCCAGTGCAAGGAGAACTTTGCTGATTTTTGCTAACTGCATGGTACCCTCTGGAAGGCGATAGTGCTTTCTGTGAACTGCAATGTTATGCCCGAGGAAATCTGCCAACTGGTCAAGTTCTGTGGTCTTGAGGTTCAGAACTGTCGATAAAGTAGCAATGTGCTTCCTGAGTTTTGTTGAGGTGAGGGCTGTAGGGTTTTTGAGGCCACTGCATTCCCTCACAAACTGCCTTATACAATCTGAACCCCTGAGGTAAAAGTTAGAATAAGGCAATGCAAACAAGTATTGATTTTCTTTCAGGATTCCGCATGTTTCCCGCTTTTCATTCAGAGCATCAATGGATTCCTTCATCATCGGACTCAGGAGAACGGGAACTTTTCTTCCTCTCTTTCCCACTATGGTTATCCGAACAAAATACTTGCAAAGTTTTTGTTCAAGTGCAGTGAGGGCCAGGTTAACATCCTCATGTGGTTCCGATGTGTCTTTTGAAAAGTAAACTGACAAATGCATCCTGGAAACCTCCCCAGCTCGTCTGCGGTTGAAAAGGATTATTTGTGCCAGAGTCACTTTGGCTAGATCCTTCCAGCTGGACTGTGAGGCCTCTTCTTTCAAGGCATGTAAATATTCCTCCTGTTTCTCCGACAAATGGTCATGAAGAATCTGGACATCATGTGTGAAAGGCAGCAGAAGAGGTGCATTCCACTTCTTCTGTTGAAGCTGGGTTAAAGCTTGGCTTGCAATGTCATATTTCCAACTTTCTTGATATAGCTGTGAAAACTCCTCTGCATTTTGGACAGTTTCTTTATCTTTCATCTTCAGTCCTTCAGTCTTAATAAACATGGCAAAAGAATGCATGTTATGACCAACTTTTCGAGCGAGAGATGGTCGTTCATATTTGCAACTTTCTTCATTGAATCCAGCAAGACGTCTTGAAGCAGCGACAAGTTCAGTGTACCTTTCAGGCTTTACGAGATCTTTAAGACTCTTCACAGGAACAGTATTTCTTACTTCAAGTAGAAGTCTGCCAAGCTCTCTTAGCTTTTGACGGATGTATGGGAGTTGGCTGTCTACTTTCTTGCACTTGTGGAACAATCTGTATCCAAACTCCAGTATGCTTTGATCACTCTTACATGCAACTGTAATTTCGTCTTGATGCATCTCACTTAGGAACTTCCAGTAATGTTCACTGAACTTTGGTGGAACTGGTTCAGCAAATGCACACAATGCTTGAACTCTTGTTTTACCCTTTTTTGAAGGGTCATCTTGAGGCTTAAATTTGCAGGTCTGAAAATGTCGCCACAAGGACTTTTTTCTGAACAGCCCATAGCAATGTAAACAATGACTGAATATTTCTACTTCTGTTTTCTCCTTTGGTTGTTTAAATGCAACAAGCTCGCCTTGGTTACTATCCAGAACTTCATTGTTGTGCTCAAAATTTCCCTTATTTCGTATGTAATCCAACTGGATTCGTCTTTGTTTGGAGTTTATTGGCAAATTATAAGCTTTTGCAACCTCTGTTTGATCCATGTGTTTGCGCATTACATGTCTTGACATTTTTTGCACAACTACACCACAATAAACACAGTGGTGTTTCTTGTTATATGTTCTGGATCCATCTTCCTTCTTCAAAACAGGAACAACATAAACAGATGCTTCCTCCAAGGGTGCCCTTTCATCATTACATGTAGTGGATCTGGAATCATGACATTCAAAGCTGGTCTTCTGACTGGACTCACCCTTGCTTTGCCTGCAAAACTTGCTTCTGTTTTGAATAAATGACATAGTTTCATTCTTCAGTTCTTTATCCATAGATAATTCCACACTGGCTTCACTGTCTGAGCTTCCTCCATGGGATTCTGGAATATATTCTTCTTCACTATCGTCACTTGCTACATCTAACCCTGCAAAACTTCTCTAAATAATTTGGAGAAAGGAGAGAAAGAAGAAGTTATTATTTCTTCCTTTATTAGAAATTAATAAAAGAACTAGGACTTAATTTTAAGTCTAGTCATAATTGTCTAAAATACAAGAAATAAAAGCTTGAAATAGTCTACTTTATGTGCAATAAATCTTAAAAAAAATTTCACTTTCTGAAATGACTGGCAAGAAATATCACACTTTTTAAGCAATATTCTAATTGCACCTGTAAAAGAGTGTTTGGTCAAATTGAATACAGTATATTCTTGTTTTGAGTAGATTGAGATCCAAACAGATACAGTAAAACGCTTTAAGAAAAAATATCTAATTCTAAGAAAAAACATATGGAAAAATTAAGGCCAACTAGAAAAATGTGTCAACTGAACAAGTTAAATGAATTAGTAAAAAGGCTATAGCAATAAACACTAGCTCTTCGTTTAAAGCAGAGGTGCCCAAAGTGGGGCCCGCAGGCCAAAATTGGCCCACCAAGCCATTTGATTTGTCCCACCAGCAGATATCCTGGTTACTAGATTGTAATATCCTGTCTTATGTAGAAACAATATTTTCACTTAGGGTTTTCAACCATTAGTCCAACTATACATACAAGGAGCTGTAGTCAGATGGTCTTACTCATGGTACTCACTTTATCTTTAAATTATGTTAAGATTAAATATAAATTACTGTATAAGTAAATACAAGAGACATTTAGACCAGATTTAAGCCCATATCTAGATTTGCACAATTTCAAAGGCCACATATACTCAAATTTAAAATTATGAAAAGTCACATGAGCCTTTGCTGCCTGAACATATGTACAATGAATTTTCTCCATGTCCATGGGCTGAAAACAAACAAAAGAATGTAGTCAACCACACAATGGGCTAGTTTAATCATAAAATATAAAACAACTTTACGAAGTATTTGCATTTCATGTTTTATATTATTGCATGTGGCCCGCAGCCCTCCAATTCATTTTGATTTTGGCCCTTTCAGGGAAAATGTTTTTTTTTTAAATTTTGGCCTTGTCAGGGAAAATGTTTGCCGGGCACCCCTGGTTTAAAGCAATCAAATCATGTGTCTACTCTGGCATTACTCTTTTAAATGACATTGATTTGTCAGACTTACAGAGAAGCAAGTTCCTCTTTTAGACCTTTGTGAATCCACTGACAGTGAGGTTAAAGGGTATTCCACACAGTCATTATTGGAATCGTAGATAGCATCAGAAAAACTTGGAACTTTATTCATCTGTTGGAAAAATTACATTAAGCTTTAATTGTTCATTTCCTGTGATTGTAGTTGCAGAAACAGTTATTTAGAAAATGTTATTTGTTATGACATTTTAGAACATATTTTGAAAAAAACAACATGTATTTCTTTACCATTATTACTTTTCTTTTTAAATACCTTTTGTAGAGGAGAAGAGAAGTCTTTTGGGGAATCAATGTCAGTATCATCACTGTCTGAGTAGTCCACTAGAGGAACTCCTTCGATAATTGATATCTACATGGGGAGGATGGAAAGAAATGTGCTGTTAAACTTTAAGCAAGTTAATCTTATATGAAGTATAAATGTCTGTCTGTTTTCTTCCGCTTATCTGGGGTCTGGTCGCGGGGGCAGAAGCCTCTTTCACAAGTCAGAGCCGTGCTAATGCCAGGCTGAGCTGCCCGGCTTCTAGGCGAGCCGGTTATTCATAAAACAAAGATAAAGCCGGGCATTTCCCACCCTCAATCGATCATTCACAAAATGGTTTTCAGCACGGGTTGAGAAGAGGTGTGGAGAAAAAGCAGCAGCTGTGATTACGTATTGCTTCCTTCATCGGGAGTCCTGCCTCGTGACTCCGCACCAGTTGCTGCAGGACGAATCTCCGGGCTCTTTCCCTTATATCATGTTGCACAAATCGAAATAAGGCCAGTTCATTGTTGTCACACTCCTGATTATTTTTTTTAGTTCTTCAGTGTTACCTGTGTCTTGTCGCTTTTAAATCCACAATTAAGAACCGAAAGCCAAAAGTGCACCTTTCTTCTGTCCCGTGAAACTATTTTTTTTTATCTCCTCCTGCATGAATTTTTTTCTTTTTTAAGCTCTTCTCTCCACATAAGAGCAAGGAGTTTGTGGGTCTCTGCACCGTCCTTCTTTCCTGGTTAAAGGTTTATTGATTTCCTCTTGCGCGCACCTGATTTTTTTTCCTCTTTTTTTTTTCCCAAATTCAGCACGTGGGTCTTTGTGTCTTCTCATTTTCCACATGAACGATCAATAGGTGGGTTTCAGTCACGTGATTTCGAAGGCAGAGCTATTTCCGCTGGAGGGCATGGAGTTCATTTCTATGGAGGAATCTATTGTAGAGAGCCTGTATTATTGTATGGATGTACAGTGGTTTGCAAAAGTATTCATACCCCTTGAACTTTTCCATATTTTGTCACATTACAACCACAAACAAATATATTTCACTGGAATTTAATGTGAAAGACCAACACAAAGTGGTATACAATTGTGAAGTGGAAGCAAAATTTTACATGAATCAAAACATTTTTTACAAATTATAGGAGCCATTTGTAGCTCTGGGTGTTCTGGGTATAGTTTGGGTTCTTATTTTGCTTTTATAGTTCAGTTT